GGGGGGGGGGGGGGGGTCCGGGCCGCCCCCCGGGGGGGGGGGGGGGAGCCGAGCTGGGACATGGGGTGGGAATGGGGCGAGCTGCAGGGAGAAGGCCTGGAGGGGGGGATGTTAAAGGGCGGGAGGGGGGGGGGTGATCAGGTGGGAGGGAGCAGGGAAGCTGTCGTACAGGGTCGGGGTGTCCCCTTGGGTCCCCAGGATCCCCCGACTCCCAGCCTGTAGGGGCAGGTGCCTGACCCTGGGGCATTTCTGCCCCATCCAGGAGGAACGAGTGGCAGAAGCATGGGACCTGTGCTGGGTGCATGGAGGCCTTCAGCTCCGGGAGGGGGGGGGGTGATCAGGTGGGAGGGAGCAGGGAAGCTGTCGTACAGGGTCGGGGTGTCCCCTTGGGTCCCCAGGATCCCCCGACTCCCAGCCTGTAGGGGCAGGTGCCTGACCCTGGGGCATTTCTGCCCCATCCAGGAGGAACGAGTGGCAGAAGCATGGGACCTGTGCTGGGTGCATGGAGGCCTTCAGCTCCCCCAGCAAGTACTTTGGGGCGGCCCTCGCCCTGCGCACCACCTACAACATTGACAGGTGAGCCGGGCCCTGGGGGGATCCAGGCAGCAAGGCCGGTGAGCAAGGGAGACTGGCCCCTTTGGGGGGTCTCTCCCCCACTCCCTGGTGACAGCAACACTGCCCCTGGGGCAGGGACCCGGAGGGGGTTCAGACCTCACGGGCTGGGGCCAAGGGATTTTGGCTTGTGAGTATGAATGTGCATAGCTCAGAGGGCTTCAGACAACATGCCGCAGATGTGGCCTCACCAGAGCTGAATAGAGGGGAATCTGCCGGCAATGCTCCTCCTAATGCCCCCTAATCTGCCATTAGCCTTCTTGGCTACAAGGGCAACCTGTTGACTCATCTCCGGCTTCTCCTCCACTGTAATCCCCAGGTCCTTTTCTGCAGAACTGCTGCTCAGCCAGTCGGTCCCCAGCCTGTAACAATGCTGGGGATTCTTCCATCCCACCTGCAGGACTCTACACTTGTCCTTGCCTCATTTGCATTGGCTCTTCTGCAAAAAGTTCGTAGTGTAGGCAAAGCCTCAGTGGATTGGGACTAGCTACGTGGTGTTTATTCATTTTAATTTAGTCACTTACTTGGACCTGTTTTCATGAGCGACCGCTTATTTCTTTCTTTTTATACTTAATAAAAACACCTTTATTTATTATCAAGCTCAGTGTAAGTTAGGATGTGTCTACACAGCAAAGTTATTTTGGAATATAAATAATGGAGATATACTCATCTCATGGAGATGGAAGGGACCTTGAGAGGTCATTGAGTCCCGTCTCCTGCCCTCATGGGAGTGCCAAGTACCATCCGTAGCAGATTTACCCCAGATCCCAAAACGAACCCCTCAAGGACTGAATTTACAACCTGATGTTTAGCAGGCCAATGCTCAAACGATCCCCCTCCCACAGCTGGTGCTCCGCAATAGCTATGGGAGCATCTACACAGCTAATCCGTTATGTCGAAAGAATGTCGAAATAACGGACGGCTTATTCCGACTCCTGCAAACCTTTCTACGAAGAAAAACGGGATTCTGAAATAGCTATTGTGAAATAAGGCGTGTGTAGATGCTTCATTTCTGTTATTTCGGACTAGTCCCTCCCCAGGGTCATTCTAAGTTACTCCTCCTGGTGCTCTAAACCGCGATAGCACGGCTACATTAGGAAAGCCGGCCTCGGACTCATTTGGAGGCTTCCCTGCAGTATAGACGTGCTATTTCGAAATACGCTGTTTGGGACTAACTCTTCTGGAATAGCTTATTCCGAAATAACTGTGCAGTGTAGGGCTGTGTCTAGACTGGCAAGTTTTTCCGGAAAATCATCTGCTTTTCCGGAAAAACTTGCCAGCTGTCTACACTGGCCGCTTGAATTTCCGGAAAAGCACTGACGATCTCATGTAAAATCATCAGTGCTTTTCCGAAAAAACTATGCTGTTCCCGAGAGACTTTTGCCCAAAAGGGCCAGCGTAGACACCATAGGACTGTTTTCCGCAAAAAAGCCCCGATGACGAAAATGGCGATTGGGGCTTTTTTGCGGAAAACCGCGTCTAGATTGGCCATGGACGCTTTTCCGCAAAACGTGCTTTTGCAGAAAAGCATCCTGCCAATCTAGACGCGCTTTTCCGAAAATGCTTTTAACGGAAAACTTTTCCGTTAAAAGCATTTTCGGAAATTCATGCCAGTGTAGACGTAGCCTAGATGTAGCCTAAAAGTGTCACCTTCTCATTGATAAAGCGGGCAGATCGTGTGAGCGTTCGGTGCACAGCTTTGACAAGGAGCAGATGGGTTTTGGCCCCACTAGGGGATTGGTTTCCTGGGTGCTTTCTCGGAGAGCGGAGCCCTCTCGGAGCCAGACTGATTCAGTGTCTGTGCTGCTTTGCAGGGGGCAGTAACCCCAACCCTGTGTCTTGTCTGGGGGAGCAGAGGAGCTGGCCCAGCAGGGCAGGGTGGTGGGCAGCCCCAGGGAGCAGGAAAACGGCGTCAGTGACTTGATCGGGACACCCTGGGACAAACCCCAAGGGGCTGGCTGTGATTTCAACCCAGCAGACTCCTCCTGGGGGAGATGGGGATCTCTTGAAGGGTTCCAGGGGGGTGGGGATCTATAATTAGCGATCTTCATCTATGGAAGATCTGTAGTGCGGGGATCTTGCTATGGGGGAATTGCTCAGATTTGGGGTCTGATTGTAGGGGGACCTATAGGGCGGGGCTCTACAGAGGGGGATCTCTAGCTCCCCCAACATCCATAGGGAGGGGCTCTTGGGCTTGGGGGTCTCTATAGAGGGGGATTCTAGGGACTCTACAATCCGGGTCGGGGCAGTCTGGGGCAGGGGTTTGGGGGCTCTCGCTCTCTGGGTCTTTATAATGGGGTGATGTACAGCTCAGCCCATGCTCTTAGGGGCCTGTCTCTGGGGTGACTCGGGTCTCTGCTAGGGGATGGGTCTGTCTCTGGGGAAGGTGGGGCTCATGGGGGAGGTGGCTGTCCTGGTGGCATTGCAGTGCTGCTGTCTTGGGGTGATTCCCTTCCTCCCCTCTCCAGCTGACCCCAGTTCCTGTCCCTTTCACACAGCGCGTTCCAGAGTGCTGCGATCATCCCGTCCTGCAATCACAGCTACCAGGTACCCTCAGGCTGTCTGGCTGCAGGCTCCCTGGGCCCCGGGCCCCTCACTGGCCTTTTCTGACTGGGTTTGCCCTTGGTGGCTGATGGTTTGTGGAGGGGGAAGTCCTCCCCCTCCCCCCAGTGCCCCTTCCCCCACCATGCTAGAGTCCTGCTCTCTGACCCGCCCCATCTGCCTTCACAGCTCCACACCCTCCAGCAGGCGTTGGTGCCTGTCATGGGGCAGGCGCAGGAGCTGCAGTGTGTGACTGACGGCCAGGTAGGTCTTTCTCGTACTCCTCAGGGGCCTCTAGGTGACAGCTGTAGGGCAGGGCTGAGGCTGCCAGGGATTCTGGGTAATAAATGGGGCACTGGGTATGAGCAGGGGCTGTGAGGGTAAGCACAGACTGACATCCTGGGGTTGGGCAGATCCCCAGGGGATTCCGCGTAACAGAAAATGGGACACAGGCGAAGGGGGTTAGTGCAGGAACACTAGGAGATTGTGGGTATGGGGGGGGGGCTGCGTCTCAGATAATGGGGCTGTACGGGCTATGCTGAGCATCCCTGGGCTTTCCAGAGACAGGAGCCGGCCCTCCTGCAGCAGGGAGTTCCACAGGCTGGCGTGTGGCAAAGCTTTTATTTCTGCTCCTCGGTTCTATGCCTCACCGCCCTTCTTCCCTCCCACTGTGTGCAGGGTCGCCAGGTACTGGTGCAGCTCAAGGTCTCTCTCTTCAGCAACTTCTCCGCTGGGTGCCTGGAGGAGGGAACCCAGGATTTCTCCCCCTACCGGCCCTGCGAAAACCAGAGTCGCGTCTTCTACTTTCCTCCGAACCAGAAGAATCCACGGGACCCCTGCCCCTGACTGGTAGGCTGGGGTGGAAGGGTCTTGGGGCTCTGCACCAGAGATCCCATTGCAGAAGTCCCTGCAGCCCCCCGGCAGGCTGGGAATCAGAGCCCCTTCCTCTGAATAAACTCCTCAGGAAGATCGAACGAGTCTTGTCTATGGGATTATTGTGTTAGTACGGCCCTCGGCCACTGGCTACCCAGGACTCAGGCATCGAGGCTCCAAGGTCTCTGAGTCGGTGGGCATGCACAGCTGGCCATGGGCTGATGGTAGCTGTTAGCCAACTGTGAATGTCTTGCACGGAAGAGTTGTGCGAAGTGTGTCCGGACGGGCCTGGCGTGGGTTATTTACACCAAACCCCCACGCCCGTGTGTCCCAGAGCCGGAGTCTATTGTGCCCTGCCGCTCCCTGGCTAGACTGGCATGATTTTCCGCAAATGCTTTGAACGGAAAAGTTTTTCCATTAAAAGCATTTGTGGAAAAGAGCGTCTAGATTGGCACGGACGCTTTTCCGCAAAAGCACTTTTTGTGGAAAAGCGTCTGTGCCAATCTAGACGTGGTTTTGCACAAGAAAGCCCCGATCGCCATTTTCGCCATCGGGGCTTTTTTGCGCAAAACAATACCGTGTTGTCTACACTGGCCCTCTTGCGCAAAAGCATTTGCACAAGAGGGCTTTTGCCCGAACGGGAGCAGCACAGCATTTCCACAAGAACACTGACAATCTTACATGAGATCGCCAGTGTCCTTGCGGAAATTCAAGCGGCCAGTGTAGACAGCTGGCAAGTTTTTCCACAAAAGCAGCTGCTTTTGCGGAAAAACTTGCCAGCCCCTGTGTGCTGTGGTTCTGGGGGGTTCATGCTCTGGGCAAACAGGTTGGCCTGCCGGATCCTGGCAGCACCAACCCCCCAGAGGAAATGGGAGTCTTTCCAGTGCCACGGGACCCTCGTTTTTACGTGCCCTGTCAGACTGAAACGCTTGCCCTGCCCATTGGCTCTTGGCCAGTGGCTGGGTGGGACCCCAGTCTGCCCTGGGGGGGCTGGCTGCTCTGGCCCCTACCCAGCCTGATTCAGCGTGAGACCATTTGGCCTAAGGAGTCAACCGAGGCCGGAGCTGCTGGCCCGGCGCATCCTGGCTCACGCCGCAGCAGAGGGACTGGAGCCGGAAGCTTGTCTGGGGGTTAATCGCAGCCGTCAATTAGCTCAACTGTGCTCGTTAGTGTCGCTCTCTGAGGCAGATTTTTCCAGACCTGGGATCAGCCTGGGTGCACCTGTGGTGTGGTTGCCATGGCGTTCCAGGCTGCGGCCCCCAGCCCCAGTTCCGGGGCCCTGGCCGGCTGGCGGGGGGGATTGCGTGTCCCCAGGGCTGCTCCCCCATGGCAGAGGGTCTGGCCTGGCTCCTTCTGGGAGGTGCCTCGTACCCACTGGGGGAGGCTCCCTGGAGGGTGGGGGTGACACCAAGAGGCAGTATGGGCCTAAATGCCTGCCACGCGGAGGGGCCAGGGCCCTTCCCCAGCCAGCTGCTTTGGCCAAAGGCTGCTCTGTGGTGCCAGGGAGGGGCGCGAAACCTGCCCCGTTGTGTCCCTCTTCCCTAGGGCCGGGACAGGTTCACAGCCGGCCCCGCTGAGGCCCAGACTATTTCAGCCCCCCTCCCCTCGCGATTCTGTTTCAGTCGGACTGTTTTGCGTTCAGTGTCTGCCCGGGCCTCGGCTGCGAAGGACTCGCTGCTCCGGCCCACTTAGTGAACGTTACATTTCCCGCCAAAGCTGCCGGCGCTGACGCAAGCCGCGTCAGGAAAGCAAGAGCGTCAACGACACAGCGAGGGCTGCTGGCTGGGGAACGTAAGCCAGGAGGGCGCACAGCCCCACAGGTAGAACCCTGGACACCCGCGCCTTACTCCTAACCCGACCTACCTCCGTGCCTCAGTTTCCCCCTCCGTAAAATGGAGCTAAGGCCGAGGCTCTGCTTTGCAAAGCACATTTACGCCGGGCTGATGCAAAGCTGTGAGTGGAGCCGTTAATTTGTAGGGCACCTGCAAGGCCTAAAAACCTGGGTGTTAAATAGCTGGAATGAAGCGGTCTTCAGCCTGCATGGGCCATGCCTGGTCCCCGGGACCGACCACCAGTGGGGGCCGGGGCCAGTCAAACACTGGCAGACGAGCTGCTGTTTAGGGTTAACTATATTTCCAAGGCAATAAGATAAACATCAAGGGCAAGTTTTCCAGTAAGCCCGTTACCCCAGCTGCCCCCGACCCCACCCATCCCTTTAAATCTTCCCAACCCTCAGCACAGGGACCGGCCAGCTCACACAGGTTCAAGCCAATTCATGCTGCAGGGTGCTTTCCTCTCCAACGAGCCGCACGCTCCGTGGGAGGCATCCGGCCAAACCGTCCATGGCTGGAGGCAGCTTTTACAAACAGCAGCTCTGAGCCCGGGGGCCATTGCTGCAAAATGGGGGGACTGATATTTGTCCCCCTGAACCTGGTCCCCATTTTTCTTCTCAAAAACCTTGCAACGCCCCATTCGGCTCTTCCCATAGAACCTGCAGTGTCACCCAGGGGAAAGCCCCACCCAATTTGGCATTCAGCCCCTAGCTGGTGGGGGAGCTAGCTGGGCTCTTGGCATACAATCTCAGGCTGTGGCAGCAGAGACAATGCAAATGAAGCGCTCATTAGCATTTCTCACCCTCTCATTTGCATAGTCTCTTCCGCTCCGTTTTGCAGAAGAGGTTTTGGTGCAAAAAAACCGCGGCGTAGACGGGGCAAAACCCCCCTTTTGCGCAAGATCCTGTCTAGCTGCTTTCGTGAGGAAGGGTTCTCGCGCAAAAGGGTTTTTTTGCACAAAATGGCCCCGTCTACACTCCGTTTTTTTGCACAAAATCCTCCTCTGCAAAATGGAGTGGACGAGACTATGCATATGAGCACTTCATGGGCATTGTCTCTGCCGACAAAGGCTGCAGTGTAGACGTAGCCAGAGAGAGACAGAGAACCCGGCCCAGCTTGGAAAGCAGTTCCAATGGTTCTCCCCTCCACCCCCTTCTGTGTAAAAACCTGCCCTCCCGTTTCCCAGCAGACTCTGCTCAGTCTCTCTCCGGGGTAACAGAAATCACCTCTAGCTGTCGGGCCTTTGCAACCCGGCTCCAGCTGCCTTCCTACACCAGCTTGGAGTTTTCAAGCCGCCCTTGAGCTGGGGGAAGGAGGGGGCGAAATTCAAGCGTTTGGATGTGAAAAGGGGGCACCAAGGGGGTGTGGGAAGAGCACTGATGGGCCCAGCCGTGGGGGGTGAGAGAGACAAGCTTTGAGCCCCGCTTTGGGCCAGCTGCTGAAAGCAGAAGCTGAGTCACTAACCCGTATTCCCTCACCCAGCTTGTCCCTCTCGTGCCCTGGGACGGGGCTGCAGCCCTGGA